GTGTTGGCCTCTAGTGCAGGGGCAGCAGCAGGGGCGTGGCAGCAGCCCCTGTCCAGCGGGGTGTGTGAGCTCCCAGACCGGGTACGAGCTGGAACTGAGCCGGGCTGCCTGTTCGCCTGGCTCCTAATACACTTTAAATGCAGAGCTGCAGAAGGGGTAGGTCCTGGACCCAGCGTAAGCCGGGACTGAGCTGGGCTACTACCCAGCCTGCTAAAAAAATGTACTGGCAAGAGGGGGGAAATGTGTGTAGTCTGTAGCATTAAACAACAAGCTTTTGCTTATTGGTTAATCGACTACACAATTACAACCCTATCAAATAGCCCATCTGCAAAGAACTGACTAGGGCTGTAACAATCCACCCCCCTCCCTGAGTGGTTCTGGCAGGAGCCCTTCCCACCCGTCCTGGCTTTAAAAAGCCCATTTTCTGTAAATTAGAAAGATGTGTATTTCTCTAAATCCAAACCCTTCCCCCAGCCCTACGTGCTCTTGAAGTTAATGTTGCTAGACCCCTCTTCCAGGGCATCGTCTCTCTTTCATGGGTCCTGCCGGACCACTTGGAGAGCGATCAACCTGCACAACAAACCCTGGGAATGATGGAGTGGTGTGTCTCAGCCCTGGTTTCAGAAACTCCACTTTTTTCCAAGGGGACAATGCCTTATGACAACTATTAGTTTCTTGGTGAATGGCTGACTGCTCTCAATGGGCCTTCCTGGATAATGAACGGGCAAAATTACCCCCGGCTGGTTTCACAAATGAAACTGATTCTAATGATGTTTATGAGAACACTAGATCCTCAGGCCGGAGCATGCTGTGAGGTTCCATGGCACAGCACTCCTTTGGGAGCAGCTAGTGTATTACTAACGACTGTAGTAACACCCAGCTACTACTAAGACAAGGTTTGAGTAAGACACTGGCTCAGCCTCTCAAATTTATTTGGGTACCTAATTCCCATTGATGCCAATGAGAGTTAGGCACCTAAATACTTTAGAGGAACTGAGCCTAAGAGCCAGGATCACTGGTTCCCTTTATGGCCTTTTGTAAATCACATAATCAGTTTGTGCCTCAGTTTCCTTTTCTCCGGGACAAGGGTGTTGCGAAACTAAATGCGCTGATGCGTTGTGACCAAGGTTCCCTCTAATCTTTTCCATCCTTGTGCAGATTTTTCCCATTCATGTGTGGAATAAAATTTTATAGGCACCGAGGCATGTTTGAATGTGCACCACCAGTAGAAACAAAACATCTATCTGTGGGCTCTCTGTTAATCAGCCGGGCAGCATTTGAATCTCTCCTGAGTGGCCATGCAAGTCGCCAGCTTACAGGGAAGGGAACGTTGGTTCTGACCCGTGGATGGGTGGCACAATAGAGGTGCAAACCGATTATTTAGTAGGTTTCCCAGCAGAGAGAGAGAAACCCGGGGCGTCCAATTCCCAGAGGTGAGCCACAGCAGCAGCTTTCTGTTCTGTTCAACTGGAACAGGGGATGTTCAGCATTTCTGGAAATCGGGCCCCGATCGTACATGTGACTCAACACAGTTACAAAGCAGCCCCGGATCGGAAAAGTTGGCCCCGTTCCATTTTTAAGCCTCTGAATTCAGCAGTGGCTTATATTGCCTACGGGAAAGCAACCTTCTGCAAGCCCAAGTGATGTTTTCTTTTCTCGTCCATGAAGTGGTCTGGAAACCCTAGGAAAAGAATCAAACCTCTTGGGAGGTGGCCTCCCAGCACTCTTTTCAGGGCCAAGCTATCGATTTTCCCAGCTCTCTTTCTCTCCCTCCATCATTTGTGATCTCAAAATAAGATGCTGGGCTTGCAATGCCGCTGCCTCATTATTATAGGCGGGGACAGGCGCTGGGCTGCAATTAGTGTGGGGAATGGAATCCCTTCCACAGCTGCTTGCACCACAGCCTGGCTCTCATGTGGAGAGGGGCTAGTCAGGGTGGTTTCAAGCACGAGGCTGCTGGTCAGAAAAGTGACTCTGAAAATGACACCTTTCTGCGGCACCGCGTCCACGCCCTGAGCACCTTTGAGTCCCGCCTGCTTTGGCGAGGCACGGAAATAGCATGGCGCGGGGCTGTGACCCTTGAGGTTGATGCTGTGGCTAGAGTCCCGTGTAAAGCCAACAGACCCCAGTTGTTGGCAGGAGGGATTGAACCTGAGATCTTAGGGGCTAAGCCATGTGCCTGTACTGCAGGGGTAGACAATAACATGGCGGTGGTACACCACGGTTAGCCCCTGGTGGGGTGTCGCTGCTGCTATATTTACCTGCATGGCCATTGGTACCGGCAATCGCAGCTCCTCTTGGCTGTGGATCACCATTCTTGGCCAATGGGAGCGGCAAGAAGTGGCACAGACCATGTGCCATGCCAGCTAAAATTAGGGATGTGGCTATGTAGTCAAGAACAAGGTTAACCGACAAGCCTGGCTCATCAGTTAACCCTTTTGGTTACACGCCGCCCCTCTCCCCCGCTGCTTCTGCATCAGAAGCAGTGGAGGGGAGAGGAAGGTGGGAGCCGATGCGTGTGAGTATCTGGCTCCTGCAGAGCCACCTACCCCCTCCTCCCCCGCTGCCTCCCACAGAGGGAGTAATGGGGGGCAACAGCTGGTGCTCCCGGCGAGCTGGTTTAAAAGCTGGCTCCCCCCAAGCCTGCTCCGGCGGAGCCACCTGCCCTCCTCACCCCTGCGCCACTGCCTCTGAATCTGAGGCAGCATGGGGGAGGGAGAGCAGGCGGGAGCTAGTACATGCAGGGAGCCAGCTTTGAAGTCAGCTCCCCACCAGCACCAACTTCCCCCGACCCTCACTGTGTGTAAAAATGTATCTGCTGAAAATGTCAGTGGATACACGTGTACACAAATAAATGCATTTCTAACCTCCCTAGCCGAAAGCTAATTGGTTCTCAGCTGAGGCTGTAAAGCAGATTCACTCTCCCTTCTAGTTTCCGTGTCTTTGGGTTACACCTGGCAGGGTGGGGTGGGGGTTAAGGAGACCTGGGTTCTCTCCCCAGCTTGTCACTGTGTTGGAGGCTGCTGTACTGTCACGAGGTCCTCCAGGAGTGTAGCTGGGACCTGAATCTGGCTATTCTGAAATGTCTTGAAGAACTTTTCCCAGCCAGTCACAGCGATGAGTAACAGCGAGTGGAATGTCAGGCAACTGGGGGGCTGGCTTGTTTGGCACTCCTCAGACAAACAAACGGGCTGATTTGATTCCGTTGTCATTTCCTCCCGTCGCTTCGCGCGGTCTGCGATCTGCAAAGTTGGACAAGCACCAAATACATTCTGAAGGGGGAGGCTTCATGGTCTAAGCGTACGTTTGAAATAGCGAGACTCCAGAGAACTGCAGCTCCTGCTGGGGGCCAGGCAGCCCTCCTGTGAGCCGGAGACGCTGAATTCCATGCAGTTTGCCTTTGAATGTCGCAGCCAGTGCTCTGCAGGGACACGGCTGCTCTGAGGGCACGTGGGTGAGAGAAGTGGCTGCTTGGGTACCCTGCTGCAGGTTTCCTCTTGCCCCAGTCTGTGCCTGAGAACTGATTCCTCCAATTCCCTCCCCGCCGTCATCTCACATCTCCACGTGTGCCCGGAGCCAGAGTAACCTGAGGGGCCATGATGCCCATGTCAGTTAAACACCCGTGTCTTCCCTTCACACTTGAGTGCTGGTCTCGCTCTTTGAGCCAGTGGGGGAACTCACGTCGGAACTCACTATGGCATCAGGGAGAGTCAAAGAATTTTAGGGGGGGGTCCATCAGCCTGAGATTCACATTCCTGTCTGGACACGTTTTACCTACCATAATCCCAAGTAATGAGCCCTGAGATTGCTGGGGAGGAAAAAAATGACAGAGAAAACATTTACCTTTATTTTTGCAGGCAGCTCCCTTTGTATATCGGGCAGCGCTACGTGCGGTGCTTTCCCCTGCCTAGCTGGGTGAGGCCTGATCCCACAAATGCATTGGTGCATGCACTGGCAGAGCCCTGGGGGGCCATGTGGAGTCCCATAGCACTCCAGGGGAGTCAATGGGAGTGCTAAGGTCCCCCCTGCGTGGATGCAGTTACCAGAAGCAAGGTCTTGGTTCCAACCTCTCTGATCAGACAGAAACAGCAGGAGGCAGGGGATAAGGTACAGGGCTGAGATCCAGGGGCACTCGATTCTGTTCCTGGCTCTGACTCTGATTCAACCGTGTCTTGTTTTTTCATCCCCTACCCCCAGCTCATTACTGCAAATACCTTTAAAAACCCAGCCCAGAGAGTCTAAGTGATTTACTCCGAGCCACACAAGCAATCGCTGGCAAAGCCAGGAATTTGACTCAGATCTTCTGAGTCCCAGACCGGTGCTCTCGCTTCTCAAATGCTTGTTTATTTTCTGCTCCTTCTCCTTCAAGTTCCCCTTCCCCAAGGGAATTAAAACTCCACTGATTTATTCCGGCCTTTCTTCAGCTTATAAAAGCTCCAGTCATCCAATCAGAGAGCAGAAGCAATAACAGGTGACTTTGGTGACCAATCACATAGCCTGAATATTGCGTGCTTGCAGTGAATAACCATGTGCAGCCCATGGGCTGACGTGTGGCTGCACTGAAGATAAAAACAGAACATGAGAACGACCACCCTGGGTCAGACCGAAGGTCCACCTAGCCCAGTGTCTGCCCACAGTGGCCAATGCCAGGTGCCCCAGAGGGAGTGAACAGAACAGGGAAGCATCCAGTGATTCCTCCCGTCGCCCATTCCCAGCTTCTGACAGAAGCTAGGGACACCATTCCTGGCTAATAGCCATTGATGGATCTATCCTCCATCTGTTGAATATCTGAGGACCCCTCACAAACGGGGAAAGGGGGAAGTCCTCACCTGGCTGTGAACAGACTGAAAAAGGGACGTTAATCACTGGATATCTTGGCTCACAATTACTAATTCACTGTGCCCAGCACCTCTCTCATGTCACCCTAGGTCAGCCTGCACTGTGTGGTGGGGTAAGGAGTGATAGGCGAACTTCTAAAAAGGTTAGCCGTTTGGCCAAGAGTCTAGAGGCTTGGCCATTCCTCTGAACTTTCCAAACTTCTTGAGTTTGCAGAATTGGGATGGAAATCTCTTGCAAACGGGCTCAGCGCTGGCAAACGGGGCAGCTGGAAGGCTCTGATTGCAAACCCTGGTGGCCTCAGGCCCAAGAGTTGGTGGCGGGTGGTTTTAGTTCCCCGCTCTCATGGCTGAGTTCTGAGCAGCGAGAATTTGCTAGAAAGGGAATTGGCTAAGCTGCAGAGGGGACACCGAGGTTACGCTGTGGCTGTGCAGGGTGGGCAAAAGAGATCTCTTTTTGGTGATGCCTGTTCCATGATGGGCACACTGGATAGTAAGTCTCAAAGGGCTCCTACACCCACCCTGGGTGGCCCCTAAGTCCCATGCTGGGTTCCTTGTACTGCTTTCCCTTCCGTTTATAATTAAAAGCATGAATCGAGGCTTGTCAGAAGAATGATTGAGTTCTGGATTGGATCTTACAGGGCCCTGGATTCAATTCCTGGCTCTGCCACTGGTTTGCTGGGTGACCTTGGGCAAGTTATGCCTGGCTCTGTGTCTCAGTTTCCCCATACGTAAAATGGGGTAAGGAGACTTCCTGCTTTTGTAAAGTGCTGTGAGGTTTGTGGATAAACACACTGTATAAGCATTATATATTTGTATTATTTACCAATTACGTACCAGGGGCCCTTAGCAGTAGGATTCAGTGATCTAGCAAGCCTTATCAATCGCTACTGTGAAAGTTTTAAATGATTCCATAATTTGTGGTGTAAATTGACATAGCTCCAGTGAAGTCTACAGAGCCACGCTGATTTACACCAGGAGTGGATCTGCCCCATTTGTTGATTTTCAAGCCCACAGATCAATCCGTCCTTCCACAGTCTCTGCTCATTCGCTGTCTGTCTGAGTCCTGCTTTGGAGGAGGATTTTATGTTATGAAAAGACACCAAAAATGCATTTTTATTTTGGAAACATAATATTCAAAGTCAGGTCTGGAAAAATCTCTGCTGATTTCTTGGGCAATTCTTCTGTTTTTCTAGCTGGCCCCTACCAATGGTTTTGAAATGAATTCCAGGAATCCAAGTCTGAAGGCTGCCCAGAGAAAAAGGGTGTTTATATATAATGCCGTCCCAAGGCCTTAAAGTGACTGAAGCTATAGCAGTCCCCAGGAGGTTTCCCGGCCAAAGATGAAAGTGAGGACATTTAACTAGATTGAATGGGAGGGGTTCTAGTCCAGTGAATCAGGCACCTACATCTGTGGCTTTCCTAAATATCTTTGTGGATCCGACCCTAAGTGATTTGTCCAAAATCTGAGCTGGAATGGGGACTTAAACCCAGGTCTCCATGTGGTACCCCAACCACTGAGCCAACTGTCCTCTTGCTGAGGTCCCTCACTGACTGCATCCAGGGCTTGCTTGCTCTCTTCTCTCCACCCGTGACCGGTTTGTCACTGGCACGTGACGGGGGATTCATAGATTAAATCCCCAGCTAATCATTTGCCACGATTTTACTGTGCGTGTAAACACACAGGGAGGCTGAGCTGTGCCCATTGCACTTGGGCTCATAGCAGCCGGCTCAGGTTGGAGACTCTGCACGCCTG